GCTTAGCAAAGTAGCTGGCCACTTAACTAAGCTGATGGCATGACAACCAGGGTTTGAGAATCTAAGGATAGTGGGAAAAGTTACTGCCACAGAGCTGGCACTGGAAAAGATGAACCTTTAGGAACCATTTATCAGGTACTCTGCCTTTCTGTTGCCTTTCTTCAGCCATCAGGCCTCTCTCTCTTACATGAAACCCCTACTTCCAACCAAGCTCAGGATTGAGCATATTCTTTGGAACTATTGACTCAGGACACTATTCCAGCAGAGAGGGACAGACTGGGGGAGGGGGAAAGCCCTTCCGCTCTCATGAATCTCTCCCAAGTTTCCTGATCCTTTGGAAGAAAGTAGATGTGGTGGAGAGGAAGACAGCCCAAAAGACTGTAGGTCTAGCACGGATGTCCTCAAAGGCTGCCTGGTCCAATCCCCCCACTTTACAGGTGAGGAAACTGAGGCTCGGGGAGTTTAAGTGACTGGCCCAAGAGAGGTTTTGGATAAAGTGCCCCTCCCTTCCCACTAATCAACTGGGTAGCGTTCTTTTTAGAACATTAGAATCTAAGCTCCTTGAGGGCAAGGAATGGTTTTTTGCCTCTTTTTATATCTTCAGTGCCAGGCACATTTTTGTTGATTTTCAGTCATGTCAGACTCTTTGTGAGATGTTTTCTTGGCAAAGGTACTGGAGTAGTTTGCCATTTCCTTCTCCAGTTCATTTTGCAGATGAGGAAACTGAGTTAGGTGACTTGCCGAGGGTCATACACTTAGTGTCTCAGGCCACATTTGAACTCAGGTCTTTCTGAGTCTAAGCCCAGCTCTCCATCAACTTCACCACCTAGCTGCCCTCCAGGCACATAGCAAACACTTAAATGTTTACTGATGGGCTACACTGCTGCAGCAACCAGGGTCTCCTTCCCACAGGAATGGACACCCAGGAAAGTCCAATTAGGATGTAGATACAGAAGGAGTATCACCAAGCTTCAGAGTTAGAAAGGACCCCAGCAACTATATAGTTCAACTCATGCCTGTAAAAGGCATTTCTACAATAAACCCACCCAATACATGGCCATTTGACCTTTGACTGATGACCTTTAGTGATTCTTCCACAAAAAGAACATTAGACTTGTATTTTTTTAAAAAGCAAACCATTAGACAATCTAGATAAATCCTTTCCCAAAAGAAGAAAAGGACTATAGGCATGGAATATTTTATATATTTTCAAATAGTTGGTGTTGATTGGTTTTGAGAAATTATTTCCCCTCCCCTCCCCTTTTATTCTTTGTTAAAAGGATGGCTCAGAAATGAAGGTAATATAAAAACAAAAGATGTCCCAAGAAAATAAAATATGAAGAAACTGTATCTCCAGTATTCACCTGATCTACCAGGTCAAAAGATCTGGCATGACCTGTTCTGGGTCAAGCCATGCAGGTGCTCTGTGATTACCTTATCCTAAAAAGTACCATGCCTAAAGTCAGAAGACTCATCTTCCTGAGTTCAAATCTGGCCTCAGACACTTACTAGCTGTGTGACCCTGGGCAAGTCACCTAACTCCGTTTCCTCCTCTGTAAAATGAGTTGGAGAAGGAAATGGCAAACTACTCCAGTACCTTTGCCCAGAAAACCCCAAATGGGCTCACAAAGAGTCAGACTGGACTGAAAAATAACTGAGCAACAATGCTAGATGTGGATTACCATCCCTGTAATAATATATTCCAGAATTTTGTCAGGATTCAAAGTCAAGCTCACTGGCCTGTAGTTTAAAATGTCTTTTTTCTACCCTACTCCACCCCTTCCCCCTTTAAAAAATTATGAAAAAAGAGTTATGGCCTTATCTGTCAATCTCTATGAAGTCCTCAGGAATTTATGGAGTCAATTGGAACTAGGGACAGAGAATGGAGTTTTACAAGTCACATCACACAACCAACTAATAACCAGGATTAGATTCCCTACATTCCCTGGGAAAGGCCCAGCAACAATGGAAAAATAGGTACTTATACTATGTACTTCATAGGATTGTTGTGAAGAATGGCCTTCATTAAAAAACTACTGTAAAGTGCTTTATCTATGTGAGCTATTATTAAAATATCTAATGGTATATGTTCAAATTCCCTAGAGGAGCTATAGATCAGGTCACAGCTAGCAAGAGCAAAAGGAAAAGATTTCTTCAAGGCAGGTCAAGACTGAGAAGCAAAGCATAGTTTATCATTCCTTTTACACTGACCCTAGCATCTTTCCCAACCCCTCCCCCGAAAAAAAAACACAACAAAGCAAAGCAAAATAATCCTAACGTTCAGGACTTCTCAGGGTTATTATAAGCACTCTCTGTCCTTTCTCCTATACCTCCTCCAAAGCTTTAGAGCTGGAATGGATTTTGCTAGGAAATGGATCCCTAACTGTGAAACATATTTGCATTTTATCTGGGGGCTCCAAGAGACAGACTGAATGGCTTATCCTAAAGGAAAAATCGCCCCAAGGTCAACAAAAGAAATAACTGGGAGAAAAGGCCTTATACCTTTAAATCACAAAACCTACACCATTTACATGCTCAGGACTACTCCTTACCAGCAGTCCCAAAGAACAGTCTTCTGGATGGGCTTTCGTTCTCCAGCCACAAGCTGCACAGCCAGTGAGTTTGCAATTCACACCAGATGCACCACCAAAGGGCCTTTCTCCTCATTATCCTTTCTGGCAGCTTTTCCCTCTCCCTCCCCTCGGTGCTAGTTCATTAGGATTAATCCCCCAGGAGGTTTCCAGAATGCTAACAGAGCCTAAGTTCTGCAAATAGAATTCTCCATCCCGGGAGTTTCCACTGTCATTTTAAACTTAACTCAGCCCCCACCAACGTGGCTTTCAGCAGGGGTCCAAGTTTCACTCTCCCCTACTCTCTCCCTTGGGTTCTTAAGGGGCAGTTTCAGCCACAACTCTGTGTCAGTTCACTGTAAGCAAGGCATTTGGGGCTGGTTTGCATTAAGTAGTTCACTCATTTATTCACAGTGGGGGGTGGGAATGGTAGGGATGCTGGAGTGGATTTTACAGTGAATAATCAAGAATTATTGTTAAACTGTAGCACATTCCAAAAATCAGATGTAATTTACCTCCAGATTCTTTGCATTCTTTGAACGCACACAGACTTGACAGCAGTAGGAGGTACAGAGAAAGAGGCTATGGATCAAGATTTCCCCAAAGAGTCTACAAAGTAGGTAATATAAAACTGAATAGGGAAATTTATACACAAATCCTCAACTTCTCCTAAACTTCTCCCTTTGCCTCTTCAAACACTTAAATCTGTAACTGAATGGATGAGAGTTATAACAGGAAAGAATTGTCACCTCAGACTAGCTAAACTGGACTATACCCAGTCATGGGGGAGGCAGCTCTGTAGCATTTGGCGTTACTGATCTTACACTTACACACCCACCCACCCATGTTTATTTCTCCTCCTAAAAACCTTATTATTGTATATTTTATATCCTTAGAGGAAACAAGGCACTTAAAGGATATAAGGCTGCTGTTGGAGTCAGGAAGACATGAGTTCTTCCTATGACATTTGCAAAGCAAGGGCCCCTTGGCTGTGAAATCAGGAGCAAGTCACTTCGCCTTTCAGGGCTCCAAGCAGAGAAGCCAACCTGCATTATTGGTGGGAGTTTCCATACCAGGAAAGGAGGCCCGTATAAAGGTGAAATCACAAGTCTAGACTCCCCACCTCCCTTCGAAAAAAAAAAATTCCCTTACACATGGAAGCCAGGTGGATTATTTTAAGCTACAGCAAATAGCTTCAAACTTTCTCTTTCAAGTCGGCTCTATTCCATCCCCAAAAACGTAACCTGAGACTTCCCACGCTAGAGACAACTAGTATATAAGAAGGAGTTTGAAGGAAGCAACCTGAACTAAAGTAAGTTGCCTGGGACTGTGGTGCAAATCATACTCATAATCAGACTCACTCGTTAGAAGATAGGAAAGATCACTCCGGTACCACTCCCTACCCCTACAACCAGCAAGGAGCGAGCAGCTAGCATCTCCTAGTTTCCCTCCTCCCACTAAACCTCTCCTGGGCTCATCTTATAGAAACAGCCACACACTCCAATTCAATTGCTCAAGAGCCAACACCTCCCAGTCAAAGAACGGGTAACCGGTTTCTGTGGTAAGACTGCCTCTCCCTTCCTCCCTAGGCGGTTTTTGGAATTTTTTAAGTGTCCCATTAAGCCTTGAGAGAGGAGGGGTGAGCGTCGTGGAGCTGAAGCCGCCGAAGATCCACTCACACTGTGAGCAAAAAGAAAGGCGCGTTTCCAGGGGGAGCGCAGGCTCTGCAGGAAGAGGGTATCTCTACTTGCAGGGAACGCAGAACTGAACCGCAGCGCTCCGGAGAAGTCTCCGAAAAGAGGAGAGAGGCTACGAAAGAGCTCTGTGACCTGCTTTCAGCACGGTTATTCAGCTCAATCTCGCTCCTGAGACAGAGTGGGGAAATCAGCTCAGGGACTCAGCCCAAAGGAGACGACCCCACCCCCATCCCGCGCAGCCCCCAGCCCCCTAGAGCCCGCTTTTGCAGACAGCGGCGTCGCTACTCCCTCCTCCCCGTCGCCGCCGTTTCCTTTGTCCCGATCTCTCTGCAGAGGGGCCCGGGGCCGCAGAAACAAAGAAGACCACCCCACCACCCACCGCGACCGCTTCTAGCGTTGTAAGCACCCACCCACCCTTTGCACTCGCTTCGGGAAAACTGTGCGCTCCCACCCCGGCATTACGCGTCGCAGCACCCAAGCCCGAAGCTGCCTCGTTCTCCCCAACCCAGCCCGAGCTCGTCATTATGCACGGTTCCTCGCCTCCCCCGTCCACCTCGTTGGTGCGCGCGCGATTCTTCCCAAGCCTGACACCCCGCGCTGCCCTTCACCACCCTCCCCCCCTCCAAGGCTGTGCCCTGCCACCACTCCCCCCTCTAGTCCCCGCCACCGTGCGCTCCGTGGGACAGCCGCTAGAGCCCCTCGCCGCCCCCAGTCTCTCGCACGATGCGCTCACCATGGCGCTGCTTAGACGAGGCCACCCTAGTGCTACCTCCGCCCCGGTGGCTCAGTCCCAGCCGTGCACCATCCCGGGAGGGGCGGGGGGCGGCTGGGCGGGGGGGGTGAGAAAGGAGGGACAAAGCAGATCGAAAACTGCTCTGCGGCGGTGAAGCCGCCCAGCACCGCCTTATAGAGGGGGGAGGGGCGGGGAGGGGCTGGGGCATCTGCCAATGGGAGAGCAGTGCCTGTGACCGACGGCGAGAGAAGCCCGGCTGGGATTGCGATACGGGGTGAGCCGGTCACATGGGCTCCGGGAGAGAGGGGGTCTGAACGCCCGAGTTGGAGTGTAAGAGCTGGGGGCGGGAGGCGGAGCTGGGAGAGACTAAAGACGCTGGGGCTGGGGCTGGGGCTGGGGCTGGGGGAGCTCTGGAGGGAGGAGGGGCTGGGGCTGCTGGAACAATAGAGAAAAGAATTTCTGGGGAAGAGGAGGAGGAGAAAGGGGGTGGTGCTGAAAGGGGGGGCACGTTGTGGAGGAGGGACAAAAGACCAAATTGTACATTTACTGGCCCTGGGCAAGGGGAGGCGTGGCTGGTTATCAGGTGGTTAGCATACACATACACATATACTTACGATACACGCATACTGTTCTATAGATCTATGCAGACCCTCATAATAACAAATAACTAGGAGGATACGAGGGGCCCTTCTGACCTCAGGCAGAAAGACAGGAGAAACTATCTGCTTTTCGAGGTCAGCCAAAATCTCCCCGCCACCGGGCCCCTAGGGTGAGTAATATAGTTCCTTCTCATCCCCTTCCACAAAGGGATTTTCCTTTAGGTTCTCAGCTCCTCAGCCTGACATGCCTAGTAGGGAAGAAGAGAGGGACAGAAACCACACTGGAGGTCACTGCGGGATACCGTGGAGATAGGAGTAAAGCGAGGTGTAGAGAGATTGGTATTTTCAGAATTTATGATTATGTAGTCAGAGCTTAATTACAGGATAACCAGGTGAAACTTTACAGTCAGAAGCCCCAAATTCCTCTCACACTCCCCTCTCCAGATGCTGATCTCAGGTCTGCACCTAGCTTCAGTGCATGACCTTGGACGAGTCACTTATCTTCCCTGGGGACGGTTTCCTCCTCTTTAATATGAGAGTACTGGATTGGATGATCTCAAAGTCTCCTTCCTGCTTTGGCTTTCTCTATAACCCCCAGTGACTCAACCTTTATGGTTGACGGTTTCAACCAGGTACTGCTATCATCCTTTGTTCCTCCCTTGAGGATTGTGTCATGTGAGAGAGTTCCAGGCTGTTTGGACTTAGTTCCACCAATGACTGATTTCTCATCCTCTCTCACATGGATGGGGAGAGGTGAGTGTTCTGTGCAAAAAGAAGCAGAAGAAAATCATTAGGGCTAGCTTTTTAATCCCCACTGGGAAAGGGAAGCCAGGAAAGAATAGAAACCCACTTCTTTTTAGAAACACAGATACCTCTTTTGAGGGAATTATAGTTGTTAAATAGGGCCTTCTTTCTTCTTCTGAAAGTGGATCTGTATGGGGATAGGCAAAGTAAAACTGTAATCTCTGGTATAATTAACCAGGGGTGGTAGAAAAGAAGATGGAGGTCAAAAGAGAAGGGAAGATAGTAGTTGGTTAGAAGAGTATTTCTCTTGTTTGGGGAGTATTAATTTGGTTGGATTCTAGTCAAACAAAGGGTCCTCATATTGTTTGTTCCTAGACAAGCTGGACATCTTTCAGGAGACAGGGTACTTCAGAACCTCCTCTTATCCTTGGAGCCCAACTTCAGTGGAAATAGGAGAGAAGCCCCTGAGCTGAGTTATTGCAGAGAATCTGGGGAGTTACCCTAGGCAAAAGCTCAAGTGGAAAAGAGCCTAAAGGCTCTTAGGAATTCCTAAAGAGTCCCCAGGCAGAGGGCAAAAGGAGTCAGGCGCCTTTGGCTTTAAAAGTATCAGAACAAAAGTAGAAGGGAGAGAGAGAGCCAAGAGAGGTTTTCAGAAATGAGAGAACCCCTTTTCTTCAATCACAAGGGATGAAAATCCCACGTCATCCAAAGCAGCCACTGAAGTAGGAGTTTCTAACTCTCCAATATCTTCCAATAGATATTGCTTTGGGGGGAAACAACATGGAAAAGGCTCTGATCAATACAAGAATGATTGTGACTTCAGAGGACTGACAGGCAAGTATGCCTCTTGTGAGAGGTGGTAGCAGAATGTGGCATACTTTTTCAGACATGACCAATGTCATAGATTCATAGATTTAGGGACCTTTGAAGTCATTTAGTCCAACTCCCTTATCTCACAGATGAGGAAATAGAAGTTGTGACTTGCCCAAGGTCACACAGGTGACAGAGACAAATTTCAAACCCAGATCTGGCTTCAAAGCCCTTTCTACTGTCAGAATATAATTTTTTAAAAAAAGAATATAATTCCATTGTTATTTCCTCTTCCAAAATAAATCTGTGCTGGTGTATTTTGGTTAACTGTATTTTGTTATGAGAGAGAGTTCTATGGGGAAAATGAAGTTATAGCAAAGTGACAGTAGTAATGTTAGAAAGAAAAAAAGAACATTAAGACAATTTTTTTAAATAAAGAAACCGCTTTTGAAACAATGACCAGGGAGATCTGTGCATCAGGATTTCAGGAGAGCAGAAAGAATAGAACTCTCCAGACTTGAATAAATCCCATAGACAACTTCAAAGTTTCCTAGTTTCCTTTTCGACTTGGCTTTCCCCCTCTCCTCCCTCTGGAGTTCCAGGAAGGAACTGAAACAGGTTCTTCCCACAAAGCCAGTTCTATTTAAAAAGACTTCTGAAGCACAAAACCTCCCCCAGGATTGGGCTACAGTGGGCTCAATCCTTTGCAGAGCCTTGATTTAGTGGTGAAGGCACCAGGGTGCAGTGCTCCCTGGGCAGATTCAGGCAAGCCTGGCGCAATCACAGAATTATAAGATTTTTAAGCTGGCCGGGACCTTAAAAATCATTCAGCATAATCCTCTTGTTTTACAATGGGGAAACTGAGGCCAAGAGGACTTGCTGAAACCATGTAACTAATAAGAAGCAGAGCAAGTACCCTAACTTGGGCTTCTTGATGCTGTCTTTGATATAGGATAAGGTAGTGCTATTCCCAAAAGCTAAAGAACAGAGGAATAGGTTACCTTAGTTCAACATACCCTGGATCCTCCCAACAACCTCATGATAGGTACTTCAGATATTATTATCCAGATTTTACAGGTGAGAAAACGGAGGCTCAGGGAGTTTAACAGGTAACCAGGGCCACACAGCTAGTAAGTGGCAGAGCCAGTATTTGAACCCAGGTTTTCCTGATTTCTATTCTAGTGCTCTACCTATTATGAAAGAAATCTTGGAGGAGTAGCTAGTGAGCCAGAGGGCCTTGGGAGAGATAGGAAGGGGAGGTGGAAATTACAACCTTCCCCTTCCCCCAGCACACATACACCATCTAGGCCCGTAGGACTTCATCGGTCTTCCCCTTTTGGCTCATTATTATTTCATAAGGACTGAGTGAGCTATGGGCCAGCCTCTATGCAGAAGAGGCCCAGGATACGGTGCCTAGCCTCAGAGTAGCAGATGTTCTAAGGTAGCCAGATGTGTATCTTATATAAGCACCTTGTATCATTGGCCCACAAATCCTGTCATGCCTAAGTCAGTGGTCTTTTCATGTGAATGCCCAGTGATGTTTGCAAACTGATATATACCCCATGTCTCTTGGGAACTATTGGTCTCAGCGTCAGCTAGAGGAAAGGGCAGCAGGGCCCCATGTCCTTGGTTTCTAGCAATCTCCATTCTCATCAAAGGATAGCAGTTTCTTCTCCCCCACTCCCTGGAGACCCTCACCTTTTCTGCCTTCCACTTACAGGTTTTGGCTTTACACCGCGGGTCACACGCATCTGGTACTCTGTGGCCAGAGCAGCTCTGGCTGCCAAACACAGTCACGAGGTCCTGATGAGCTGACAGGAATCAGTCACCAGGTCTTGGGGAAAGGCTGCCAGAAGGTTAGAATCTAGGAGAAAGAAAGGGTTGAAGCTCTGCCTCTCCAGTTATGTCAAGACAAGAAAAGGAGGAAGGAGCATGGTATGGGATGGAAGGGAGGATGTATTTGCCCTCCCCTGTCCAGATTCCCATGGAGCTGTTGTGCAGTGCAAGGAGAGAAAACTCACAAGCCGTGGGAAAAAAAAAAAGATATTCAGCAGCAGTGGTATACGGAGTAGGGGCAGGGGAGAAGTGAAAGTGGGGGGAAGATGGTGAGGTTCAGGTTTGGCCAACTGAACACAAGGAGAATTGATTTCAGAGGGAGACTCCAAAAGGCAGGCTGGACCAATTCCCGGGAAGCCAGACTCTCTCCTGCTGTTCTGTACCACTGCACCCCCACCCCCCACTGGAAAAAGGACAAAAAGTACCAGTTATCCCTTCAAGTTTCATTTCATAATAGACAAAACACAGGAATTGAAATCCGGAGAACCTGGATTCAGATGGTAGCTCTGACACTTAACTAGCTGTGTGACCCTGGGCAAGTAATTTAACTTTTCTGAGTCTCAGTTTCCTTATCTGTAAAATGGAGATAATAATGCCAGAAGTATCTTTCACACAAGGTTGGTGTGAGGATCAAATGAAGTGATTATATAAGATGCTTTGCACATTTTAAAAGACTCTATTAATGTCCATCATAATACTTTTCTCGCTTCTATAGGACCTTTCCCGACACATTTCCTAACACTAATAATTTTTGTTCAGTTGTGTCTGACTCTACATGACCCCATTTGGAGTTTTCTTTGCAAAGATGCTGGAGTGGTTTACCATTGCCTTCTTCAGCTCATTGTACAGATGAGGAAACTGAGGCAAACATAGTTAAGTGACTTGCCCAAGGTCATACAGCTAGTAAGTATCTGAGGCCAGATTCGAACTCAGGTCTTCCTTACTCCAAGCCTGGTGCTCTATCCACAGCTCCACCTACCTGCCCTTATACTAATAATATTAGCCAGCATTTGTATAGCACTTTAATGTTTGCAAAGTGCTTTACATATATTACATCATTTGATCCCCACAGCAACCTTATGAGATAAGTGCTACTATTTTCCCTCTTTTATGGATAAAGAATGTGAGATAGCATTTTTAACTGTCTTCTTGACCAAATCCAGTGCTTGGAGTCTATTGTATCACCTACCTGTTCTTTCCTTTTCTGCTAAGGGCCCAACTCTGCCTTAGAAAACTTCTCTACCTTAGCTTTCCCATTGTCCTTGACAAGAAAGAGGTTCCTAGATACTAATTATTTGGAGAAAATAACAAAACAGGATAATCTCATTATGAGCTCCCTGGGTGTTAGAGTTCTGTACAGGTAGTTTCTCTGCAAAAAATTAGAGATAACTCTTGCCTCCTAAGTAGGTCTGAAGCTGTCAGATGGAAATGAGTCTAGGCTAGGGTTCGAGTTCGAGTTGTCTAGATAGATATGGGGATGGCTAGGTGGTGAAGTGGATAGAGCACTAAGCTTGGAATCAGGAAGACTCATCTTCCTGAGTTCAAATCTGGCTTCAGGCACTTAATTAGCTTCCTGAGTCACTTAACCCTGATTGCCTCTCCCCTCAAAAAAGGAAGGAAATGGGAACATATGTTAGGTTCATTCCCACCCCATTTCTGCTTGATACTTTCCTTTATAGAGAGCAGAAACTAGATGTTTGTGCTGCCTTCATTCTGTATCACTTCTCTGCCTGATTTCAGCTCCATGAAACAAGATGCCCCCTAGAGCCACCCCTCCTCAGCCCTTTCCTGCCTCTTTTTCTGTGTGTTGTTCTTTTCTCCCATTAGATTGTAAGCTCCTTGAGGGCAGGGACTGCCTTTTTATTAATTAGATCCCCACGACTTAGCATAGTGGCTGGCACATAGAAGGAACTTAATAAATAAATGTATTGGATTGGAGTTATCAAACCTGCTGAGCTCCAGTCTCCCTGACCCTTTGCAGGATAAACTAGACCCCTTCCTGAAGCTAACATATGGATGTGCTCTGCATCCATATGATGCCAGGTATATGATCTAGCAACTCAGTCTGCTACTGCTCCCTCCTTCCCTCCTGACATCACAGGTATGAAACATGCTGCCTTTCATGAGGTAAGATGACCCACCATCGTTAATCAATTGTTCTTTTCTAGTCATGATGGACTCATTTTGAGTCATCCACACTCTCTCATTCTGCCCGCCTTGGGATGAATGACACATATTTGTAACATTGTGGATGGATTAAAAGCCAGCTTGACCTTTTCTCTGTGAGTGGCTGGCTGGCCTGAATGGAGATCAAGCCTACTTAACCCTGGCCTCATTAATATAGTCTCCAGTCATTTTGTCTCTTTCCAAGCAAAAATAATGATTAAGAACCCTGGCTTGTTGACTCTCCAACCTGCCACATGAGGCTTATCTGGGATTCTTTTAGGATGGGGAAGGGAAGAGAAAGGGATGGGAATAAGCATTTTTATAGCTTCTCCTATGGGCCAAGCACTGAGCTAAGTTCTTTTTACTAATTTTTTAAAAATTATATTAATTTTTATTTATCTTTATATTATCTCATTTGATCCCCATAACTACTGTGAAGTATCTGGTGTTGTTTTCCTCATTTGGTAGTTAAGTAAACTGAGGCAAACAGAAGTTAAGTGACTTGCCCAGGGTTACATAGGTAGTAAGTGTTTAAGACTGAATGGCGATGGCATTCATTTGTTCATTCATTCTGGAAAAGAATGATTAGCCTCATGGGCTGAGATAATATAAAGATGAAGAGTAAAGTGAGCAAGCCCAGTAAAGCACTATATACTGTAACGTCAATATTATAAAAATGAACAATTGAAGACTTTAATAAACTGAAGGAGAATGGAGTGAGCAGAACCAGATCAATTTATACAATAATGACACTATAAAGACAGTTTTGAAAGCTGCAAGAACTGTAATCAATACAATAACTATCCACGCATCCAGAGGTCCTGTGACAAAGCATACTGATCACCTCTCACAATGAAGTGAAGGATGTAGGGTACAGAATCAGACATACGTGCACACATAAACATATATATTAGCTGCATGCATGTGTATGTATATGCATATGTATGTGTATAATCAAGGGATGTATGGGATGTTCAGCAAGGGCTAGCACCTCTGGTATTCAGGGTTGCTTATCTACCTTTGGTGTCTACCTGGCACCCAACTCTCACCTGTGGCTCCAGGAGGCTGTGGCATGAGCCGCAGCCACACCCTAGTAAAACTGTCTCGGCAGACAGGCTAAACCAGGTAAGCGACAAGCCTCAAACTCATCGGTGAGTTAGGGGATGTCTGCCTCAATCATATGAAGATTTCCCTGGGCAGAATGGGTAGATGAGAACAAGTTTATTCCAGCGGCCATGAAGGTGGCAGAAACAGGCACTGTGGAGCACTCACAGCTTGGTCGGACATCAAAGATGCCAAGGTCATCTGCTGCGTCCTGAGCTGTCGCTTGTTGTCTTGACTTTTGTCCTGCCACTGGACTTCAGTGACTCTGGAAGAGAGAGTGAAGCTGATGACTTTGTGCTACTCTGCCTCACTCAAATCTAATTCACCCATGAGTCCAGACATCACGGTGACCATGATGTCATTGGTCCTCTTTGAAAATGAAGGACAGACAATGACAACGTGTATAATCAAGCAAAACAAAACCTCCCATTGGTTCCATATACACATACATATACATATACTCACTGTATTGGCTGTATGCATGTCTGTATGTGTATGTGTATATTTGTGTGTATATGTATATATGGGGCGTAGAGAAGAGAGAGAGCTATACAATCAATGAGGGATTTTGTTTTACTTGATGATACGTATTACACGAAATTTGTTTTTCCTCTTTTTCAATGGGTTAGGAGGATGGGAGTTAGAGAAAATAGATTTGTGTTACTTATTTTAAATATGGGGGGGGAAGGGGAGCACAGATGTGGAATGTTCCATAAACTCTCAGAGGAGGTCATTATATTGCAAGGTTTTGCTTAATTGTTTTACTTTGTTATGAAAGAACTCCAACAAAGAAGGGGTAAGCTATAAATGTTTGTGATGTAAAAACAAAACACATCAACAAAACCTAAAAAGTAAAGACCTAAGGACAGTCCATAGGCTCAGACCAATGGACTAATAATGTCTGTCAAGGTCCTCCTCCTCTTTTGCCTTCCTGTCCCCATTCCTACCTGTGCTGAAGGGTACTCAGAATCTTTATTTCGTTTCAATCCTTAGTCCATTTACCCCCTTGTGAGTGGTGTTGGGTTGTTCCCCTCCAGCGGGAGCTGAAAGAGAAGTTATCAAATCCACATCTCACATTTTACAGATGAAGAAACTGAGGCCAGAGAGGTGAAGACTTTTCCAAGGTCACACTGCTTATCCTCAGCGAGCCAGAATTTAAACCCTGGTCTTCTAATACCAAGTCGTTCTATGCCAAAACAGATCTTCCCTCACCTTTTCAGTCGGTCTTCCTATGACTGAAGAAAATGGAGCCCTGGGGTCATAAGCCAGCATGTTCGGGTTCCTGAGACCTGCCCCTCCCTTTATGATTTTCCTTTCTTGGATGTATTTGTGTTATTGCTTCAATCTTTTGCTTCCGGGGAGGGGTGTGTGTGACCAGTTCTTGTTCTCCCATTTTCACTGAGAATAACGGTGCTTGCATGACAAACCAGACAGCATCCAGAAAGGGAACAGGGCCCTTGTCCACTCAGAGAGAATGGGTAAACCCAGCTCTTTCTTCCTGCCCACCCCCACGGCTGATGGTTCCACTTCTCCAGCTGTCATTCACTTCCTTTTCCTCTCCTTCCCCCCCATCAATGTAGCATGAAATTCCATGTCAGTTCTTGTCATGGCAAATGTCATGATTGATCATCGTGTCCCCAGGGCCTTCCCAAATCCAGTCTGTCCTTGGGGAAGCTTGAGAAATGCCTGTTGTCAGTGAGAGGGCAGCATTTCTGAAACCAAGGCTCCTGTGTCCAGTGGATAGGCTAACTTGGAATAGTAGAGCATGGTTCAAATCCCCTCTCTTAACTCTGGGCAGCATGTTGTGGTAGATAAAACGTTGGATTTGGAGTTAGGAAGACCTGGATTCAAATTTCACCTTAGACATTACTAACTGTGTAACTCTGGGCAAGTCATTTAGCCTCAGTTTCCCCTTCTGTAAAATGAAGGTCCCATCTAGTTTTAAATTATGATCTGGGCTTCCCTTCTGCTCTTGTACTTGGCTTGTCCTGTATATGCTTGAGGTTTCTCTTTTTTTTTTTTTAAATCTTCTCTGATAAATCTTACATTCATTTCTGTGCATCTTCATAGGACTTCTTGGAGGTAGAAGGGAGTCAAGCTTCCCCCATCAGACCAGGAACTTCCTGAAAGCTTGAATTGCATCTCTTCTCCTCTTCTGTATCCTCTTTACAATGCTCGGGACAAGGTTCTTTTTGAAGTGGGGAAGGGAGAAGAGATATTTTCCTCTCGATAAAATCAATGTTCAGAGGTGGTCCAGGTTGCTCAGAGTTAGAAGAGGACCTGGATGCCGGAAGATTCCTCCCAAGAATTTCCTGAGACCTGGAGAAAATTCTCATTCCTAGAATGACTCAAGAGGCAGAGGAATTATCCTGAGATCACCTGGAGACCTGCAGGCAACAGGAGAAGGGAAAAGAAGATTAATATGATAAGACCATGTCTGCACTTGGCAAGTGAAGAGGCCTGGCATGTACATAGCTATCTTGGTTAGTTTGTTTGTTTTTGTTAGGTAACGAGGTTAAGTAACCTGCCCAGAGTCACACAGCTAGTAAGTGTTATGTGTCTGAGGCCAGATTTGAACTCAGGTCCTCCTGACTCCAGAGCCGGTACTCTATCCACTGTGCCACTTAGCTGCCCCTGTCTTGGTTAGTTTTAAAAACAGCCTTGGAATCTCCTCGCTTTCCCAGGAGTCAGATTCACCCATTTTCTTTAGGGTAACCTTTATGATGCTCCATAGACTTTGGTAGGGTGAAAGGCCTTTCCTCTTGTAAGGGAATCTGCCCCTTTAATAGACTTAGTAGGGCCTAACCAGAGACAGGAGGGAGATGAGGTAGGTGGGGCCTCAGAAGAGTCAGGGAAGACCTGTGCAATAACGGAGTTTGGAAGCTGAGCTAGGGGTGTCTAACGAGATTTTAGGACTAGCAGTTCTTTTCTTTCTCTAGCCTAGGAAGAAGTGGTAGGGTAGAAATTACAGCTTGGGAAAGAGACTAAAACAAATGTCTGTGTGAATGGAGAAAGTCCTTGGAGAAGGTGACTTTGATGGATGAAACCTGGGATCAAATAACTTATTTGCCAGTGGGCACCCCAGAATTAGCAGACAATGTTTTCTTCAGTCCCTGGGCCCCTCCTCATATACTTAGGGGCTTATGGGTAATGATATTAATGTCTTTGGACCAAGCAGGATGAATGAATATCCTAGAAGTGAAATGAAACAGCAGTAATCCACCAGGGTTTGCTTCTGCTTCCAGACAAATCCAGCTGGACTGGGGCCTCTGTAGAGAGAAGTCACTTCATCTTGTATATATGTGTGTGTTCTGGAATATTGTCTACAGATGACAGAATACTTTTTTCTGTATACAAAGGTTTGTAAGTGCTCATTTGAAATAGGCAAGCCTTGGCCAGCATTCCATCTACCCCAGGTATTAGTGTTCTTGGGAGGGGGAACCTTTGAATTACTCTGTCTTTATTTCTTTGTGCATGTATTAATATGTAGCATGGTGGAAAAAGAACATCAAACAGAAACTTGCATTCAAATCCTGCCTTTGACACATACGAGTTTTGTTACAATCGACAAGTCACTTAACTATCATCTGCCTCATTTCCTCATCTGTAAAATGGGGATAATCATACCTACCCAAAAGAGTTTCTAGTTTCTTTGAGGGTCAAATGAGATAATGTATGTAATATGCACTCTGTGAACTTGAAAGTGCTAAATAAATTAATGTTCTGATAAAAAAGGATAATGGTAGTTAGTTTTTATGTAGTTCCTGAATATTTACAAAGCATTTTACAGATATTATCCCATTTCATACTCACAAAAAACCCTGGGAGGTGGGTGTTATTGTTTTCCCCATTTTATAGATGAGTGAACTGAGACCAGAAAAGTTAAATGACTTGCCTAGGGTCATATACAACTAGATGTGTCTGAGGCAGGACTGGAACCTTCCTCATTCCTAGAAGAGGTCAGAGCTCAGTGCACTGCCTCATGTAGGTCACCACATAACTGCACCTAAGCTATTACTATCTTCCCAATAGAATGAGAAGCCCCTTGAAGACATTTTACTTTTGTCTTTTTATGCTCAGGACCTAACACAATGTCTTGTACACAGTAGGCATTTAATAAATGTTTCTTCATTTGAACTGGCTGTATGCAAGGTTTCTGCAAATGGCAGTGATCATCTGAGTTAGTTAGTAATGGGTACATCGTCCAAGCAGGATTAGCCTCATCCCTGAAATTACACATGAAGGGTTTCATTCCTTTGGCTTAACCCAAAACCCACTGAATGGAGGGGTCAATTTCTACACTGTCCTCTGTTTTTGAATCAGAAGAGCCCTCAAAGACAAAGTCTCTTCTCTTGCCAAACCTCAGTCTTTGATTATTTCTACCATCATCTTCTTTTCTTTCACTCACAAGGCCATTGAATAAAGCTGGGGGAAGTCTCACGACTGTGCTGAGTGAAAACGTTATAAATTCTTGTTTTCAACTTCAACTGGACTCTCACTGCAGCAAGGCAGTCCTTTGATTCCTCTGTAGCTCACTACCATGGAAGCTCTTCCAAACCTTCTCTAATCTCCTCAAGCCCCTCCACACAGGGGTGTGCCAGTAAATGTTTTACAACCAGCTTCTCCCCCCCAAAAAAAAGTACACATGACACATTTTAAAATTTAATGTACATTATTGACATTTTCTCCAATACTTTCTTAAGTCCAGACAATCAACAAAGTACAAATCAATCCCTAATTTGTAACATTTTTCTGACTTTTGAGGGGTAAATGTTCACACTGAAAATTTAACAGTTGGCTTTTGGGAGCCAGAACAAGCTGGTTCCAAAATACCCATGCCCCGATACTTCCTTCTAATCCTCCCCCCCCTTACCCCCTTCAGCTGAAGACCTTGCCTCTTACTGTAAGGGAAAAAAAATTAAGGCCAATGTGAGCACTCACTTTTTCTATTCTCTTCATTTTAAAACCCTTTGACATCTCCCATTCTCTTTCCTTTCCCCCAGGTGGCCCTTCCCCTTGCCAAGGCCAATCTCTCTACATATGCACTTGATCTCATCACTTCCTTTTTCTCCAGAAGATTTCATCCTCAATTAATTCCCTCCCCTTGAGTCTTCAGCCTCTATCAACTGATTAATTTCCTACTGAGTACTTTAAAACATGTCCAATCTCCCTATCCTTAAAAAGCTTTACTAGCTAGAGAGGATGTGGGAAAACTGGGGCACTAATGCACTGTTGGTGGAGTTGTGAACTGGTCCAACTGTTCTGGAGATCAATTTGGAACTACGGCCACTAGGTTTGTTTCCAAAGAGATTAAAAAAAAAGAAAAAGGATCTATTTATACAAAAACATTTATAGCAGCAGTTCTTTTTTGTGGTAGCAAAGAACTGGAAATGGAGGGGATGCCCATCAATTGGGGAATGGCTGAACAAGTTGTGGTACATGATTGTGATGGAATACTATTGTACTATGAGAAAAGGTGAGCGGGAGGGTTTCAGAAAAAACTTGGGAAGACATATGAGATGATGAAAAGTGAAATGAACAGAACCAGAAGAACATTGTACACAGTAACAGCAATACTATAGCAATGACCAATTGTGAACAACTTAAATACTCAAGACAATGATCTAAGGCAATTGCAAAGGAATCATGACGAAAAGTCCTGTCTACCTCCAGAGAGGGAACTGATGAACTCCGAGTGCAGATTGAAGTATAATTTTTCAATTTCTTTATTTTTTTTGCTCTCTTCTCCCTCTATACCAAGTATTCTTAACTTGGGGTCCACAGACTCCTCATTCTGTAAGGTCTTTGATAGATTTCAAGGAACCTATAAACTTAGATGGGAAAATTTTACATCTTTATTTTCAGTAACTTGAACTGAAATTTAGCATTTCTTTCAATCATGAAACCATTATTTTGAGGTGTTCATAAGCTTTACCAAACTGTCAAAGGGATCCATAGCACCAAAAGTATGAGAAACCCTACTGTTTTCTTGATAAACTCATCAGCTCCCATGGGTTTAACTATTATCTCTGTGTAGACAGCTCCCAGATCTATATTTCCAGAGCCAATTTTTTCCCCTGAGCTTGTCCTGCCAATTAATTCAAACTGGATGTCCCAGAGACATCTTAAACTCAACATAGCTAGAATTAAACTTATCTTTCTCCTTTTCCAGGCTTCTCTATTTTTGTTGAAAGCACTTTTCCTCTGCCTCAGGTTCACAATCTCAGCATTAGCCTGGATTCCCCACTTTCCCTTGGCCCCCGTATCCAATTGATTGACAAATTTTGTTGTTTCTACCTTCACAGCATCTCTCAAACATGATCCCTTTTCTCCATTCAAATGGCTACCACCTTAATTCAGGCCTTCATCACCTCTTACCTGGATAATTGCAACAGCCTCCTCATTAGTTCTCACCACTCGTCATCCCACACACTGCTGTGAAAATAATCTTCCTGAAGTGCAGATTTGACCATGTGATTCCCTTCTTAACCAACTGTAGTGCTTCATATTGCCTCTAGGACAAAATATAAACTCTTTTGTTTAATTTTTAAAACCCTGTACAACCTAACCCCAACCTATCTTTCCAGCCTCAATGTACATATTCCCCTTCCCATGTTCTTTCATCCATCCAGACTGGCCTTCTTTCTGTTCTTCACACAAGACACTCCATTTCCCCGTCTCCATATCTTTGTCCTTTATGTTTTCCATAATTGATGCTTTATTAATTACCTACTATGTGCCATGCACTGTGCTAGGTGCTGGAATTCCCTGGAATTCCCTGTAGAGTCCCTCTGTCTTTCAGAGGAAACTCAGGTACCATCATCCTGTTGACATGAAGCCTTTCCTGATCTTTCCAATTGTTAACACCCTCCCTCCCAAACTACCTTATATTTAACTACTTTCTATCTATTAACTTTTTATTTATGCTGTCTTTATATTTTTATATGTACTTGTTCTTTCCCTCATTAGAATGTGAACTTCTTTCAGGCAGGGATTATTTAATTCTCTGTGTTTGTATCCACAGCACCTAGTTCTTGGTGCTGGATAGGTGCTGGGTGACTGATTGAAGCACTGAACCTTTCTTCACTGTGAATAGGTCATCAGAACCTTTCCAAGGCTTTAAGACAGGTTTTATAGGACAGTCAAGAGGACAGAACATAAGAAGACTGAATGTCTTGGGCAGAGGGTGGAGGGGTGGGGGAAGGTGGGAAGGAGGGGGAGAGAAACTGTAAAGGGCAGGAAGGATGATTAGGGAAGGCATAGGACTCTGGTGCAGTAGTTAATCTTTTGTAGGATCATCTATCATATGCCAGGCTCAAGATCTTTTTAGACTGTTTGTAGCCAAAATTCTGTGAAAAAAAAAAAGCTGTCTTACTTTCAGAAACAACAACTCCAGGGAACAAAGTGGCAAGAAACAATGTAGATGTGTGTGGTATAATGAAAATAATCCTGGACTGGGAGTCAGGAGAGTTGATGGTTTTGGTAATGGCTAGCTGTGTGACCTTGGGTAAATTACTTAACCTCTCTGGGCCTCAGCTTTCTCATGCGTAATATGACAACAGAGTTGAAAGATTCTTTCCAGGACTGAGATTTTTTCAGTTTACCAGATGCTTTCTGATGCCTCAGTCCACTATTCCTGAAATGGTATTTATGTTCCTCCAAAACCATTCATTCATTCAACAAACACACATTAAACATCTACTATGTACATATCACTGTTCTATACATTGAATGAGATAGGACATTTAGATAAGATACCATCCAAATCCTCTTGAAAATCGTAATGAAAGTAGGGAATAAGATGAAAACATTCTGTTTGTTTCCAGATGAGAACAGGAGCAGGAGAAAGTAGAAGTCAGGTGAGAAGGTCAGGAGGGTCTCTTTCCAACTTTTCTAACTTAAACTTTTACACAGGAAAGTTCTTTTCTTTAAAATTCTTTTCTCTGTCTTCTGATATAGCCTTACCTTTTAATGCAGTCAAAGAAGAGAGACTGTCTCTGTTTGAAATTCACATTCCTTGATTGGCTTGAGTAGGACAGTGAAAAGAGTTCTGAAGTCAGAGGATCTGGGCCCAAATCCCACCTCTGACACTGTCTACCTGTGTGATCATGGGCAAATCACTAAACCTCAGTGTGCCTCAGTTTCTTCATCTGGAAAATGAGTGGACTGGACGAGATGGCCTCTGAGGTCCCATGGCACTCTTAAGCTATGCTCCGATGACCCAGCCATTGACTAATGGGCTAGGATTTTACTACCTCTTTCACAACATCTCTGCACTGATGACAGTGATCTGGGCCCCTGGTACTTGGCTGCTACCTTCTTTCATCAGAGAAGAGGATGGGGGGGATGGTGGTGGGAAAAGGAGGTTCAGACATACATATTGAACTTAGAAACATTTACTGTTTTCTCCTTTACCTGTTTTGGTCTGACAAAAGAGAAAGTGAAGGTGGAGGAAGAGAGCCTGTGGTATAATTCCCAGTCTCTGGGGAAATTCTTCATTTTAACCATATCGAAAGAGTCAATCAAACCACAGCAGGGATTTATTGTGTGAGGTAAGTCTCCATTGGTGCTATTAATTATTTACAGGGCTTGCTCTGAAGAGGTCTGGGTTGCATCAGGGCCTGAAATACATTATTCATACAGGTCTGGTTCTACAGGTTTTTATTATCAACTTGAGGCTAGAACTCAAAATCAGCTCCATCTACAGGGAAAGGTTCCTGTTGTCACCAAGGGCATGCATCTTTGCATCTTTTCTCCAGGCTCCAGTCTCAACACCTGCTGATGTTCTTTATATAGGTATGGGGATGGCACAGATGTTTGGGATGGAAGGACAAGGACAAAGGGGATGTTTTCAATGGGTGGGGGTAATCAGGTGACTTCAGTGACAAAGGCACTTGGGGCTGAGGCTGAAAGTCAGACTGGTCTCAGGCAGTTTGGAAGAATAGGAAATGGTGTGAAGTCCAAGGTTTCTGTCCAAGGGAGGGAATGGTATAGAGCTTGGGGCTAAACATGGTAGGCCCATAGGCTAATTCTTTTTTTTTTAACATTGTAATTTATTATTTATTTATTAGCATTTTTCTTTTTAAATTTTGAGTTCCAGATTCTCTCCCTCCTTCCCCCACTCCCCTGCTCTGAGAAGGTCAGTAAAATGAAATGCAAAACATTAGCCATATTTTTTCAAAAATCAAGAAAAATAAAGTGAGAAAATCATACTTCAATTTGTACTCAGAGTTAATCAGTTTTCTTTCTGGAGGTGAATAGCATTTTTTCATCGTAGGTCCTTTGGATCAATATGTTGATCAGAGTGGCCAAATCTTTCACAGTTGATCATCATTACAACATTGCTCTTATTGTGTGCAATGATCTGGTTCTCCTCACTTGTTTTTGCATTAGTTTATATAGTTCTTGCCCTGTTTTTCTGAAACCACCCCCCTCGTCATTTCTTATAACAAAATAGTCCTCCATCACAATCACACACCAGATTTCCAGTTCTTTGCCACTACAAAAAGAGCTGCTATATTTTTGTGCAAATAGGTCCTTCCTTTTTCTGTAATCTTTTTTGGGATACAGACTTAGCAGTGGTACTACTGGGTCAAAGGGTATGCACAGTTTTATAGCCCTTTGGGCATAGTTCCAAAGTGTTCTCCAGAACAGTTGGACCATTTCACTACTACACCAGCTAGTGTACCTATTTTTCCCTCATTCCCCACGGCATTTGTTATTTCTGATGGGTGTGAGTTGTTTTAATTTGTATTTCTCTAATCAATAGTGATTTAGAGCATTTTTTTCATATGACTACAGAAGGCTTTAATTTCTTCTTCTGAAAACTACCTGTTCATATTCTTTGACCATTTATCAATTGAGGAATTGCTCTTCATAAATTTGACTCAGTTCTATATTCAGTGTATATTTGAGAAATAAGGCTGCTGTTGTTGCTGTTGTTGGGGGGTGTGTGTGTGTGTGTCCTTGTTTTTCTCCCTTAGCCTAGAAAATGAAGCATTTTATCTGCTAAAAGACCATTGGTTCTGAGTCAGAGGAGCCTAGACTCAAATTTCATTTCTGGTGTGTATCAGCTCTGTAAATAAACCTCTCTGGGCCTCATTTTCCTCTGCTATAAAATTGGTTGGTATAGATGGCCCTTGAGGTTCAATCAATCAGTCAACATTTATTAAGCACCTACTATGTTACAGGTACTGTGTTAAGTGCTAGGGATACAAAAAGAGGCAAAAGACAGTTCCTGCCCTCAAGGAGCTTACAATCTAATGGGGGGGAGCAAACAAAGAAATATGTGCAAAACAAGCTGTATACAAGATAAATGGGAAATAATTAACTAGGGAAGATGCCAGAATTAAGAAGGACTGGGAAAGACTTTGTGTAGAAGGTGGGATTTTAGCTGGGAATTAAAGGAAGACCGGGAGGTCGGTGGTGGAGATGAGGAAGGAGAACATTCTAGGCTTGGGATACAGCCAGAGAAAATGGCAAGAACTGAGAACTGGAGTGCCTTGTTTGAGGAACAGCCAGGAGGCCAGTGTTGCTGGATCAAAGAGTATGTGTCTGGGAGTCAGGTATAAGAAGACTGGAAAGATAGGAGGAAGCTAGGCTGTGAAGGACTTTGAATGCCAAACGGAGAGTTTTGTATTTCATCTTGGAGGTGATAGGGAGCTACAGGAGTTTATTGAGTGGAAGGGTGACAAGATCTGACCTTCTAGGTTCCCACTGGATTTATGATCTTTGGCAAACCCTCTTCACAAACGTCTCCTCTTTAGGGGTACGCCAGTAGTATGTTTAACAAATAGGTCTTGGACGGGGGAAATGACACTCGACACACTTTTAAGTCTAATCTGCATTATTAAGACTTTTTCCATCACTTTTTTTTTCTTTTGGAGGTAATGGGGTTTAAATGACATGCCCAGAGTCACATAGTTAGTAAGTGTCTGCGGCTGGATTTGAAATCAAGTCCTCCAGACTCCAGGGTCACTGCTTTATCCACTTCTCCACCTAGCTAACCTTCCATCGCCTTTTAAAATCTACACAAGCCACAAAACAGCAAATCAAACTCTTGAGTTGTAGCATCTGCTAATTTCCAAGATATAAATGCTCTCGCTGAAAATTTAATAATCAGTTCTAGCCAGCCTGTAGGAGCCAGCTCCAGCACACTGCTGTCAAGGCACAGGACAGGGAGGGCATGATAGCTCAGGGCCGAGCAAGGTGAGAGAAAGCTCACCTGGCTTGCAGGTGTGTGCAGTGGACAGAGGCCGCCCCCTTCACTGGGCCCCGTGGAGTTGTTCTCTGGCAGGGTCATGAAGGAGGTAACTGTGGTGTTTGATCACCCACCCTTCCCTTTTCTTTGCCCTGGTGACCTCTGTACCCCAAGCCCTTCTCATCAGAAGGAATTATCTGACAAACTATTCTAGACTAATGTTAATTCTTCCAGAAAAGTTTGTAATTTAAGAGGACAATGAGAAATGAGATAGAATTTTGGGCATCAATGGGGAAATACTCTTTTTTTTCAAGTGGGGGAATTGTCATACTTTTAGAGCTGGAAAGGGATCATCTAATCCAGCCTCCTTGTTTTACAGGCCTGTTGAAGTCATCCAGGTAATTAATAACAGAGCTGGGTTTTGAATCCAAGTCTTCTCCAAAACCAATATTCTTCTTCCCCACCCCCTTTCGACCCCTTGAATCACGTGATCTAGATGTTTTGCCTTTATCAGGTTGGCCATGCTAATGCATGCACCTGGAAAAGTACAAATATTCCCTTTCCTCAGGTTGGTTCTGCTAATGCAAGCACCTGGGAAAATACAAATACTTCCTCCCATCAGGTTGGTTCTGCTAATATGTGTACCTGGCAAAGTGCAAATACTCCCCCTCCATCTCTACTTCCAGCTCACGTGCTAGCTCCCATCTGAAAAAGTAACTCCCACTCCCTTGTTCTCCTTCCTGCTGTTCTCTATAGGTGGCTTTTCCTCCCTTCCCCCACTTTCTGGTGTTATCCACTCGTCTGGCTGAGTGCCGATGTTAGTAGTCCCAATGTCAAAAGCAAGAGCTTTTGGCTTCCCAGTCTCCTTTCCCCACCTCCTCCCACCCTCCCATGTCTAGCAGTGGTAATATATGGCTTTGCTAAGTATTGGAGGCAAGGCAGTGAGGTGGTAGGAGAGGAGAGGAGAGGTGAAGGGTTGGCTTTGGGTTACCAGGACCCAAACTGAACTAGAGGGTCTTAAGAGCTTATTGGGGGGGGGGGAGACAGCTAGGTGGCACAGTGAATAGAGCTCTGGCCTTGGAGTCAGGAGGACATGAGTTCAAATGCAGCCTCAGACACTTAATACTTACTAGCTGTGTGACCCTGGGCAAGTCACTTAACCCTGATTGCCTAGCCCAAAAAAAAGAAAAAAAAGAAAAGAAAAAAGAAAAAAAAAAGAGCTTATGGGGACTAAGAGCAATTTGTTCCGTCCCTTCTCAGACAACAGATTCCCACAGCTCCTGGTACCGAGGAGGAGAGCCCGGGTTCTCAGTTTCTAGCCTGATCCTTTCCCCTTGAGTGGCCCTTTGGAGGTGGGCATATTCAGGGTAGGCCCTAAGAGTAGACAGAGTCAGCAAATACCTACATGGAATGTTTTAAGTGTAGAATGCTTCGGCTTAAACCCCCTACCTCCCTAAGCCCAAATTTCTGTTTCTTCAGACTTTCAGGAAACTTGAAATTCCTCCTCCATTTGAGTTACTCTTTTTAGTTAAGGCATCCTATCCAGAAGACCCCTCCGTCAAATAACCTGCCTAGTCTTTGTGTTCAAGAAAATTCTTCCTCATTTGAACGGGCTGAAGCAAAGTTGTATCCTCAGAGAAGCTTGGGACTGCTCCACTCAGCTAGAGAGCTGGTGGCAAGTGTCAGGCACTTTTAAAAGGGCAAGTGGAAACCTTCTCATTTGTAATCTGTTGCTCACTCTGGGAACTATATTTTAGTCTAGAAAGCAGATAATTTACCCATCCTGAAGTTCTGGGTTTGTCTCTTACTTTACTCTGTTCACAGGGTTATTCTCTCAGTAAAAGGTTGATTAGGACAGCATGGCTGCTCTTTCTGCCTGAAACTGAGTCTGCTGTGGAGACCAGTAGCCCCCTTTCCCCACTCTTCCCAGTCGTCCTATTTAATCCTCTCATATGGATTCCCTTATTTCCCTAAGGTATTATAGTGCCTTAGGCCTTTTCCATGAATATGTCACCCTTCTCCCTTTCCACCTCCCTCCTCCATCTTCTGGACTGTTTCCTTAAAAGGAACTCCTATTTGTAGCCCTGCTCTGTGCCCAGCTATTACTTGTTATATATTGAATACAAAGTGTTTACTCATCTTCTATATGATACAAGTCCTTTCTCATTTTGACCACCCAAAGAGAATGAGAAAGACAGCTGATGTGGCATTAGACTCATTAGTCAGGAGTCTTAGGTTAGCACTTATCTCAGATGCTGTGACCCTGGGCAAGTCACATAACAGCAAACATTTTTTTTAAGGCAATTAGGGTTAAGTGACTTGCCCAGGGTGACACAGCTAGTAAGTGTCAAGTGTTTGGTCTGAGGCCGGATTTGAACTCAGGTCCTTCTGACTTCAGGGTCGGTACTCTATCCATTGCACCATGTAGCTGTCCCTAACAACAAGCAATTTTTAAGAGCCTAGTAGGTGCCAGACTCCATGCTAAGTGCTGGCAATACAAAGCCAAAAGAGAGAAAGAGTGCCTACTCTTAATTAGAGTTTATTTTCTATTAGAGACAAATTCAACATGCGTAAGGTAATTTGGGGGGTGAAGTGGAGGTACCAGTAACTAAAGAGATCATGAAAGGATTCATTTAGAAAGTGGTGCCTGAGCTAAGTCTTTTTTTTTTTTTAGGTAATTGGGGTTAAGTGACTTGCCCAGGGTCACACAGCTAGTAAGTGTCAAGTGTTTGGTCTGAGGCCAGATTTGAACTCAGGTACTCCTGACTTCAGGGCCAGTGCTCTATCCTCTGCGCCACCTAGGTGCCCCCTGAGCTAAGTCTTGAAAGAAACTAGGGGTTCTTAGGTTAAAGATGAGGAGGGAGTGCATTCTAGGAATGAGGAAGAGCTGGAGCAAAAATGTAGGTAGAACCACTTTTAGGGCTATATCCCAAAGTGATCATACAAATGGGAAAAGGACCCATATGTACAAAAATATTTATAGCAGCTCTTTTTGTGGTGGCCAAGAATTTGAAATTGAGGGGATGCCCATCAGTTGGGGAATGGCTGAACAAGTGGTATATGAATGTAATGGAGTATCATTGTTCCATAAAAAAATGGTGAGCAGGAAAAACCTGGAAAGACTTACATGAACTGAAGCTGAGTGAAATGAGCAGAACAAGGAGAACGTTGTACACAGCAACAGCCACATTGTGCAATGACTGACTTTGATAGACTTAGCTCTTCTCAGCAATGCAAGTACCCAAAACAACTCCAGAGGACTCATGGTGGAAAATGCTCTCCACATCCAGACAAAGAACTCTGGAGTCTGAATGCAGATTGAAGCATATTATTTGCTCTCTCTCTCTCTCTTTTCCTTTTTTTGTTTGTTTCTTCTTTCTCATGATTTCTCCCTTTGATTCTAATTATTCTTTATAACATGACTAATGTGAAAATAGGTTCAATATGAGTGTATATGTAGAGCCTATATCAAATTGCACTCTGTCTTGGGGGAGGGGGAGGGGAGAGATGGGGAGAATATTTGGAATTCAAAATCTTATGGAAACGAATGTTGAAAACTAAAAATAAATATATTTTTTAAAAATGTGGGTAGAGGCAAAGAGATGGAGTGTCTAGAAAGAACAGAGAGAAGGTCCTTTCGGCTGTACATTAGAGTATGTAGAAGGGAGTTATGAGTAGTAAGGCTGCAAAAGTTGGGGTCAAGTTGTAAAGAGCTTTGAGTGCCAAATGAGTTTATCCTGGGGTCAGAAAGATCTGAGTACAAATCCTGCCTCAGACACTTATTACCTGTGTGACCCCTGGGCAAGTCACGTAACCTTTCTGTGCCTCAGTTTCCCCATCTGTAAAATGGGGACAATAATAGTACCTACCTCCCAAGTTGTCATGAGGATCAAATAATAATAATTCGGAAACACTTAGCATAGTGCCTGGCACATAGTAAGTGCTATATAAGTGTTAGCTATTATTATTTATTATTTTTATTATTACTGTTATATTTGATCCTCAAGACAAATAGGGAGCCACTGGAGTTTATTGAGTAGGGTAATGACGTGATCAGAACCAAGCTTGGAGCTCTAGTTTTCTCATCTGGAAATGGGGATAATAATACTTGCATTACTTCATAGGATTGCTGTGAAGAAAGTGCTTGGTAGACATTAAAAGCATTAGCTAAGTGTAGAATGTTCTTATTAAAATGTTACTATCGGAGGGGCAGCTAGGTGGCGCAGTGGATAGAGCACCGGCCCTGAAGTCAGGAAGACCTGAGTTCAAATCCAGCCTCAGACCAAACACTTGACATTTACTAGCTGTGTGGCCTTGGGCAAGTCACTTAATCCCAATTGCCTAAAAAAAAATGTTACTATCGTACTAGCTTCAGTTGGTCAATGAGCATTTGTAGCAAGGTTCTGTGTGTGTGGTGAGGGCTGTACCTCCAATGTAGTGTAGAGGGTATTATGTGGCTTCAAGGCAGAATAGACGTCTCTAGCCTCTTCTACCTTCCCTGCACCCCTCCTCTTTATCCAAGTGAGCCTTCGATTATTTATTTATTTATTTTGTTTTTAGGCAATTGGGGTTAAGTGACTTGCTCAGGGTCACACAGCTAGTAAGTGTCAAGTCTGAGACTGGACTTGAACTCAGGTCCTCCTGACTTCAGGGCTGGTGCTGTATCCACTGTGCCACCTAGCTGCCCCTTGAGACTTTAATTATTGCCAGAAGAGGAAGCAAGAGGTTGGGGACAATCTCTTCTCCTTAGAGAGGCAGAGTAGTGGGCTAGAATTATATCTGTCTGCTCCCTCAAATATTATTCATCTAGGGGATATGATCAGATTAAATGATTATCACTATTTCATTAAATGGGGGGCAAGGAGGACGCCAAACTCTATAGCTGAGGCTTGACTCCTTTCCACAATGAACATAGCAGTTATCAAAGAAAACCTGTTTATGCAAACTAGTAACAAAACAGAAATCAGAGAAAGTGTGTGTGTGCTGGACAATACAGAATGAAAGGGCTCTCCTGTTGGGAACAAGGTAACCAATTTCAACCAGAAGAGAATCCTAGATCTCTCCCAAGGGGATGTTCCCGTAAGTCTCTACTGCGGCCAGCTGGGGATAGGTACATGATGGAGACTTCCAGCTCCTCCCATGTCTTCCCAGAGTCTTTTCTTTCCTTCAGGTACCTGAAGTAGAGTTGGTCTCTTCCATCTTCCCTCTTGAAGCTGGCATCCAGAAATACTCAAAGTGACTCAAAGTTTGAAGAGAATTTGAAAAAGTCTCAAGATAGTGAAGCTTTCTCACTCTTACCAGCTCTGATCTGCCTCTCATGCAGACAACTATGTCCAAACAACATATGGACAGGGTGAATGGAGATAGTCCCAGGGGGAAGGCATTAAGATTGAGGAGGACTGAAAAGAGTTTCTTATAGAAGATGGGCTTTTAGCTGAGACATGAAAGAAGCAAGGGAAACCAGGAGGTAGAGATGAGGAGAGAGAATTCCACAGAAGTGTAAAAAAACTGTCCTTTGATACTTTCCATTACTGGAAGCAAAAAGACCACTTGACTCACTGGATTTGAAGTCAAAAGACCTGGGTTAGAATCCCAGCTTAGCTATTTACTGTTAATGTGACCTTAGGTATGTAACCTGGGCAGCTAGGTGGCACAGTGGATAGAGCACCAAGCCTGGAGTCAGGAAGACTCATCTTCCTGACTTCAAATCTGACCTCAGACACTTACTAGCTGTGTGACCCTGGGCAAGTCACTTAACCCTGATTGCCTCAGTTTCCTTATCTGTAAAATGAGCTGGAGAAGGAAATGGCAAACCACACCAGTGTCTTTGTCAATAAAACCTCAAATGGAGTCACAAAGAGCTGGACATGACTGAAAACTACTTGAACAACAACAACAATCTTGGGTAAGTTTCTTTAGCACCATCTGTGATGGCAGAGACCATGTTTTTACCTTTTGTTTGATCCTCAGTGCTTATCATAATGCCTAGCACATAATGCTTAATAAATGATTATTGGCTGACTAACTCAAAGCTTCAGGTATCTTATTTGCAAAGTGAAGAAGTTGGATTAAATTGCCTCTGAGATCTCTTGGGGCTCTGAATTGTATGATCCTATAAAGAATGTGCTAATAATGATGATGATGATGATGATGATGATGATGATAGCTAGCATTTGTATAGAGCTTTGAAGTTTGGAAAGAACTTTATAAAATTATTTCATTTGATCCTCATAACAGCCTTAGATAGGTGCTATTATTATCCCCATTTTATAAGGAAACTGAAGCAGACAGAGGTTAAATGACTTACCCAGGGTCATATAGCTACTAAGTGTCTAAGGCCAGAATTGAACTTATATGTTCTTGACTCTGGGTCCAGTGCTGTAGCCATGGTTCCACTGTTAAACTTACATATATGTAAACCAATGAATAAAACTACAAATAATAGCATGTCCTTCAAGGTATTGAAGTTTTAAGTGTAATGGGGGTGGACTGGCCTAAGGGTACCAATCCTTGGCACATCCCAGATATTCCCTGACTGATTCTAGTCTAAATTACCACACAGAAGCTGGGGGCAAGCTTGTTTCAAGTCATGATGACTCAGGGGTTTGTATGCTGTGATGATGAAGAATCCTCTAAATGGCTTCTGAAGCCAGAAGAATTTATGACTCAGGGTCTGCTGAAAGGGTCAGCCCACCTCATTTTTGATCTCTTTCTTTTGTAGCTTCAAGAGAAGCAGGACTACTTTGAACTGCCTCCCCTAAAGCTGGGAGTGTCAGGGGGGTTGGAGACAGCAGCTACCCTGGCTCCTACTGAGCCTTGATGATACTGAGCACATGGCTGGTTGCCTCTGCCACTTTCTATTTCTTCCTAATGTTATGTGAAAAGGTATTTCAAGACCAAAGGGTCTAGGCAACCTGTGTTCAGGAAATCCGAGGACCATGACATCAGGAAGGTGATGTCCATGACTTGCAAGTGAATTGGGTTTAAGTGAGGGAGGGCTGTGCAAAGTCACTAACCTCACTTTCTCCTCCAGAGCCATCTGGGTCTATCTAGGGGCAAGATACAGATCAGGATGAATGGAGATGGCCCTGATGCAGTGGAAGACCTTGGCCTTTTTAAGCTAAGGTCTTTCCAAGTTCTCATTTTGACTGAGGCAATGCCCATTCAGTGATTGAGGTTGATAAGAAATAAGCCAAGGACTGAGCAAGTTGTGGTGTATGAATGTAATGGAATACTGCTGCGCTATAAGAAATGATGAGCAGGTGGACTTCAGAAAAACCTGGGAAGACTTATTTGAACTGATGCTGAGTGAAGTGAGCAGAACTAAGAGAACATTGTACAGAGTAGCAACCTCATTGTGTGATGACTAACTTTGATAGACTTGGCTCTTCTCAGCAATACAAAGATCTAAGACAGCTCATGATGGAAAATGCTGTCCACATCCAGAGAAAGAGCTATGGAGTCTGAATGCAGATCGAAGCATACTGATTGGTCTCTTTTGTTGTTGTTTTGTTTCTTCTTCCTTGTGGTTCCTCCCATTGGTTCTAAATCTTCTTTACAACATGACTAATGTGAAAATATGTTTAGTATGAATGTGTATGTAGAGCCTATATCAGATTTCATGCCAACTTGGGGAGAGGGAAGGGGAAGGGAGGGGGAGAAAATTTAAAACTCAAAAGCTTATGGACATGAATATTGAAAACTAAAAATAAATAAATAAATTTTAAAAAAGAAAAGAAAAAGAAATGAACCAAGGAATGGCCCCTTTTACCTACTTAAAAAAAAATCACTCAGGGAAGGGAAGACCCTCAGGGTTTCTGGCCAAAACAGAAACAATTATTATTTATATTCGTTCTGAACCATCAAGGCCCAAACAATGACCACTGACCTCTAATTGGCCAATCAATGAGAGCCAGAGTGAATTGGGTTTAAGGCATGGTCCTTAGGAAAGAAATCTAGTGTGTAAACCCCAAGATATCTTGCTAGGTTCCAGCCACCAAAATTTATATTCCTTTGGCAGAATAGCCATAGGTAAAGGTATGATACCCTGTGTGGACAGAGGGAGAGGAAAGGAAGGGAGGGGAAGGGAAGAGGAAGATGTTAGCTTAAATCCTGCATCCCTGTAACCTCTGTCTCTTGGTGCCATTTCTGCACTCTGGAATTACACAAATAAGCCTAATTCCTTTTTCAGATGGCAGCCCTTTAAATATTTGAAGATAGTTATCTAGGGGGCAGCTAGGTGGTACAGAGGATAGAGTGCTGGGGCCTGGAGTTGGGAAGACCTGAGTTGAAATCTGGCCTCAGTCTGGGGAATTCACTTGAACCTCTGTTTGCCTCAGTTTCCCCATCTGTAAAATGGGGATAATAATAATCCCTACCTCACAGGATTATTATGAGGGTCAAATGAGATAATATTTGTAAAGCATTTAGTATAGTGCCTGGCATTTATTATTGTTATTGTTGTTCAATCATTTCCTGACCCCATTTGGAGTTTTCTTGGCAAAGAACCTGAAGTGGTTTGCCATTTTATTCTCCAGCTCCTTTTACAGATGAGGAAACTGAGGCAAACAGGGCAAAGTGACTTGCCTAGGGTCACACAGCTAGTAAGTGTTTCAGGCTGGATTTGAACTCAGGTCTTCCTGACTCCAGGCCTGGCACTCTATCCACTGTGTTACTTATCACAAACGTCATTCCTACTCTTAGGGGTATAGGTTATTGAGGTCGACTTATCCTCTACCAACCCTAATGTAAAACTGTAGTGTAAACCCTAGACTAGGTTCAACCCCTTAGTTCAGGGGTATTGAGCCTAATCCTTGGTTAACTTTCCTAGTTTTTTTTTTTCATTATTCCTCCTAAAACATCACTTCATAGCTAGGGGGTTAGAATTTCTTGGACTGTGTCAGATTCCTCGGAGAATCCCTTCATCATCCATGTCATTTTCCTCTGACCAACATTTTTTTTTTGTCCATGTTTCCTCTCAAATGTGGTGCTCAGATCTGAGCCCAGTACACTCCAGATGTAGTTAGACCAGGGCAATCAATTAATCAATCCATAAACATTTGTTAAGCTCCTACTATGTGCAAGGCACTGTGCTGAGTGCTGGGGATACAAAAAGAGGCAAAAGACATTCCCTGCCCTCAAGGAGCTTACAGTTGGATGGACAGGGGACAGAGAGATGATTCTCTATCTGCCACATTCTGAGCACTTGATAGTATAATGTAATGATACATGAACCTTTCAGGCAATCATGTCACACTATTGCTCTCCATCTCTAAATGCCAGGATCGTGTTGGCATTCAAGTCCAGGCTCAGTCTACTCCAGGCTATATAGATGTGCAGTCTTACTACAAACAGGAAGGACCCAGGATGACTATTCCAACTTTGTTGAAGGGAGAGGAAACAAATTCGCCAAGTAATATAGGGGTATAAATCAAAGAAATTGGGAAGGATAGAGAAAGAGAACTCAGATTTCTGCAAGTATAGGCACAGCCTTGCCCTGGAGGGTAGGTGGGTAGGGAGGGAGAAAGCTGCTCCTCTCTCCGGTTCTCTGGGCCTCCACCCTCCCATATCCAGTAGAATCTCTCCTTCAGCAGCTTTGAGGCCAGTGAATAGACACTATCTATGTCTATGCTTCTTTTCTGTTAATTACAAAAGGGAAGTCCATCTAGGCCTTGTCTCATGCTATTGGCTGAGCTTTGCAAGGTCATGTGGTGTCATAGAACATTGGACCAGGCCTTGGGCAAGCACCTAGAACTTTCTGAGCTTCTGTTTCTTCATCTCCAAAATGGAAAGGATAGCTTATCCTTGCCCAATAACGTAATTGGGGAGAGCCAAGGAGATAATGGATGTGAAAGTACTTTGTGCATGCATATATGTGTGTGTGTGTGTGTGTGTATGCATATGTATATGTATATATGTGCATTACTATTATTATTGTTGATGATGAGATGAGTCTCTTGATCAATTTGGTGAGGTCCCAGGGAGGTGAGCCTTTGTTTGGGGCTTTGATTGTATCTTGTTAGTAAGGGTTGAATTTAGAATTGGAAAGAAGGCTAGATTTGGTGCTGAGAGGATGTGAGCTTGAATCTCAGAAGTAACAGGCTTCTTACAGCTCTGTGACCTCAGGTAGTTGCTGAACCCATTTTTAAAGAGACTGAAACTTTCCCCTTTGGTGACTTTGTTCTTTTAAAGGTACTGAAACTGAACCATTTGAGGGCAAGAAGGGTTTAAAAAAAAAACAAAAACCTGAGTTCAAATCTGGCCTTAAACATTTATTAACTGTGTGGCCCTGGGCAAGTCACTTAACCTCTGCCTGCCTCAGTTTTCTCATCTTTAAAATAGAGATAATAATAGCATCTACCTCTCAGGATTGTTATAAGGATCAGATGACATATTTGGAAAGTGCTTAGCACAGTGCCCAACACATAATAGACACTTCCCTTCCCTTGTTCCCTAACAAAAAACAACCCAAAGCACAAAACACAAAACAAAAAAACCAGCATTTGTATAAAGGTAATATATATTCCCTATTGCTTCTCAAAGAGATTGAATTATTATCTTTGTCTGTTCATTGCAGGCCAGGAATACGTATTTTGTATTTAAATGCAAAGTGTGAGCCTTGAGTTTTTTGGGGTTGTTTGTTTGTTTGTTTTCCAGGAATGGAGTCTAAGACCCAAAGAGAAAA